CGACTGTGAAGGGCCGCCAGTCGGCACCTGTGGGTCTGGAAGGAAACAGGGCCGTCAGGCGGCACCCGATTCTGAAGGGCCGGCAGTCGACCGTCACCTATAGCACAAGAACGAAAAGGGGCCGTCAGGTGGCACCCGACTCTGAAGGGCCGGCAGTCGGCACCTCAGGCAAACACAGTCGCACCATCCTCCGACTTCGTTGTGCAAGGGCGCCCACGCAAGCCCCGAAGGGCCAGACCGTCAAAGGCAGCTGCAACAAGGCTTTCTCGCTCTTACTCACCCAAAGCCACAGCACTCATGCCCGTTCTTAAAGAAATCAGACAGACGTGACAACACCTATGTTTTCGAAGGTCATAGACCATATACCAGCAGCACATTGTGAGTAGAGTTGCTTTGTCGACAGAAAATCGCTGGGGCGCAAAAAGCAGGCCACTGTATGACTGTATGATATGTACACGACCTTGGGCGTTGCTGAAGAGCTCCGTCGGCACGACCCCTTTGCATGCAGAGGAGGCCTCCGTTGCTCAGTCTTTGTGCAGTCTTCACGGTTGAGGCTCTGCGGGAAAGATTGCTTGCAATCCGTTGGGGCGGATGAGAGAGCTCCGTCGGCACGGCCCGAGGTAGGCACACGAGGCCCCCGTTGCTCTTGTTTTCGGCACACTCCGTAACAGCAGCCAATGCAAGGGATGCACTATTGCTTGGGGCCGATGCGAAAGTGCGAAAGCTCCGTAGGCACGGCCCCTTGCAAGCAGAGGAGACCCCCCGCTGCTTTGTCCAAGTGGGGACCGACAGACGGCACGCCTCACAAAGTGTACATGATCACGGAAGCTGGCATGATGTGCGGTGTTGGAGGTCGCGCCACCTGCCGCCTTCCCGCCAATGGGAAACAGTATGTTGATAACACTGATGATCGGTCCTCCCTTCGCGTGGGCCCAAAGGGAACCCTCACGCCAGCCATCAAATTGATGACCGGACCGGGACAAGCTGAAACATCGTAAGCGCTGCAGTGCTATCCTCGCCAAACTTTTTGTAAATCTTCACAGACAGAAAGCTGCTACTCGCTCCAGCAGCTTCCACAACGCGATTTGCAGCTGATGACGATGACGGTTCCTCGAAACTGTCCCGCATGACGGGTTTAGGGGCTCAGGGAAGCTGCAAGTATACACGTCGCTGTTCGGGAATGCGCACCTTGTATCAAAATCAAGCGGAAGGTGCGCCCACTGACTAGGTTTCGCAGAAACCGATCAACCAACAGTGAAATTGAGGCGAGCAGCTTCCACAACATGAGTTGCAGCTGATGACGATGACGGCTCCTCGAAAGTGTCCCGCATGACGGGTTTAGGGGCTCAGGTGCAGGTGTTTTCGCATTCAGGGGTTCAGCCACCTTGGGATTAGAGTTTTAGGCTTTATGGTCTGGGATTTTTTGGGGTCTCGAGTTTGGGAGGTGTTTTAATTCAAGGCGAAGGCGCTTTAGGGATTGAGGAGCTCTAGTGCTTTTCAACTTTGAAGGGTCAGGCCTTAAAGTTTAGCGTCCCGGAGTTTAGAAGCTTTCGAGTTTAGGGATGCAAGCGCTTTTAACATTCAGGGCTGTTGGAGTTTGGGGGGTTGGCGATTTGGAATTAGGTGCTTCCGTCTTTGGTAGTTTGGCTGCCGAGGCCGCGTGAGCACAAACTGTCCTCTACAGCTCAAATGCCTAGACTGGCCCTTTACACTGTAAACCGTCTGAAAAACAATCCTAAGTCTTAAACACCCAGTAAAGGAAGGGGAATTTCCAGAGCTTTGGCCAAGCAGCCACCAATTCAGCGGAGGCGCGATTTGCCATCTTCTTCCGGTGTCCCTTGATTCCACAACTGACCAACGAAAAGACGCAGAACAGAACAAGCGCAAGGCTCCAGGATTTCATGGCCGCGACTCACGACTGCTACGGAATCTACGGCTTGACCCGTCAGTATCTGCGGCGGTTGCACAGCCGTCCTAAACATGGATTTCCAAACCGAGAAATTACATCAAGCAGAAACCGTGCATGTGTCCCACCAGGATGCTTTTGCCCAAAACGGGCAAGGACATAACTAGCTCGCGAAACCCGACGAAACCTGCTCCCTGCTCAACTTCTCGCCGAAACAACGGACGGCTAGAAAAAGACAATCAACAAAGTGGAAAAACAGTGTGCTTTCTTCGGGACACTACAGAAGCTGCAGAATCTTATCCAGCGAGTCCCACCTTGTATACACATCAAGCGTGCCCGCATTCTCACTGGCCGCGCATCCGCAAGACCATTCTTCAAGTCAACTTCGAGTTAATCCGTTCCCCCTTTCATTAAATGCCCCCCGCTCATTACAAAAACACATTCCGGAAAATCCTCCCGAAATCAGCCCACAACAATTTAAAACCTATTCCGAATTGGCTTGAGGGCTCCAAAAACCCTGAAGCCAACAAAAATCCTGAAGAGGTTTAGGGTTTTTAGGGTTTTTAGTCCCTGAAACATGAATTTACTGCAAAACATCACCCTAATAATAAAAACACATTTTGGGTGTTTATTGCGGGGGGGGGCGTTTAATATTGAATTAGGGGGAAGGGATTACTTCGGAGTCCTATGCATTCATGCTCCAAGCATTTCCAAACTCGCAAACCCCACTGTAGATGCTCACATCATTGCAGTGGCGGTGGTGACGTTTTATGGAATTCTGTCCTGATCCCGCTGACCAGCATTTCATCACCTTCGCTGTCGTGGCTTCGCTTGATTCGCCGGACCTGTGAGGGTTGAAGGCTGAAGGGAACCACCCAATTCCCATGCCATTTAATGGCTTCTTTTCGCACAAAAAAGAGGGTAGTTTAAGTAAATTGAGATAATTATCCCTTCGTGGGACTAATTCAATAGTTTAAACTATACAGCGCTAGCTATTTGGCCGCTTGCGGTCCTTACAGTGCTAGCTACCTTTCCCTACCTTCCCCATGCCCCGTTTGGGTCATAATACTATAAGCCGCCAAACGGGGCGGCGGAACGTAACCCAGCCCTACCATGGGGAAAAAGCGAAAACAACTCCCGAACGTAGCGGAACGTAGTCAGCGGAAGAGCGGAACGTAATTCAGCCCTACTATGGGGAAACGCTAAAACAAGCCGGAACGTAGCAGAACGCAGGCGGAACGTAGCCCAGCCCTCGTATGGGGAAAAAGCCAAAACAAGTCCTCTTTGTGCTCTCTCTGGGGAGGGTGTTCCAGCGCTCCACTCTATGATAGCTACAGGCCTAACTTCGAGCCACAGTAATGCCGGGCCTATCACGGCAGCATGACAGGGGCAAAAGCACTCCACTGCTGAGGGCCACTGCAGGGGCTTGCCGCAACGTGCAAAAGCCTCTTCTTCCCCTAAAGCAGCAGCAACTAGATGGCTCGCGTGGAGGCAGGAGCGAACAAGCCTTTGCATACGTCGCCACATACTCAAAGATCCGTACCATGCAGCCAGGTTGGACAAGCATCAGTAAACAAGTCAAGATCAAAATCAATACTTTGCGGAGTCCGCACCTTCTGTCCTTGCAGGTGGGGGCCGAAAGTCAGCAACGGCCATGGCAAGGGAAACTACAACCCACCCCTATGCTTGAGCCGCTCGTGGCGCTTGGAGGGGTTGTTAGAGGGGATCGCATCCGTCGGGACCCGATCGATGCCACCTTAAACTGAACATCTCAGCTCAAGGACCAGATCCCAGAAAATTCCTACGAGCTCGCAAACATCTTCCGTGGCAATGTAGCCCTTGATCAAGGTTGATAAAAAGGAGGACGAGCTTGCCTCTAAGTTCCTCACGAAATGTCTGGATCGCCACAACTGCAGCGAGCGCTCCAACATACAGATCTGTGTTCTTCTGGGGAACCACCGCTGCATGACCAAAGGGGAGACATCAGACGAGAACTGTCGAGGAGGATCATCCTTCGTGAACATGACCCGCCTGCCATCTCAGTAGACGGATCGTTCGGCCTAGAACTCGGAGCCGAGCCATCAGTTCTTCGACCCTGAGCCCTGAGCGGGGTATTGGCCGGGGCGGCCCGTGCAGCACCAACGTTCGCCACTTGTAGAGCGCGTAGATCAAAGCAGGCGAGAGCCCTGTGGAGGCAGTTCTCCTTGAGTATTGCTGATCGGACAAGGCCCATGATAACGTCCATGCTACCAGCCCATCAAGTGGCTAGTGCATCCATGCCCAAAGCATGATAACGTCCATGCTACCAGCCCATCAAGTGGCCAGTGCATCCATGCTTACAGCTCACTCTTAGTTTCAGCAAATCGCGCCTCGCAGAAACATCTAATCTAGTTTTTTGATTTTTTTGCTCCACATGTCATCACAACGGGGACGCCATGTTGAAGCGTTCGAATGTGAGAAAGCATCGGCCCTGCGATGCTTTTCCAACAGTATTCGTACAGGAAGTGACAGCCGACCCGACATACCGCACGCAAGGTTCATACTTCTGACACTGGCAAGCCTTGGCAGCCAAGCGCACCCTCGCCGAATCGGAGAGCCGACGAAGCCTTGTCAGGTGGGGGTTTCGCAGTTCGATGCAGGGTTCAAGCTTGGGGAAGCCGCTTGGACTCTTGGCCTTGGACAGGTTTTACTTAGCAATGCAGCTGAGCGCAGGCGAAAACCGATTGCTGGACACGTCTGCCTGCTCCTCCAAGTTGCCAAACCAACAGCAAACTAGGGGCGTGACAACATGTGCTCATATTATCATATCTGACAGTTGCTGCTATACTGGCATGAACGGAAGACTGACGAGTATGATCTGTTCCCGTCCAGAAAGGTGTTGTCGGCCATGTCACTGATCCACTCTCTCTCGCGTGCGCGCTTCCAGCGGCCGCGGCTGCAGGTAGAGCCACGCGACCTGAGCCAATTTGATGTCCTATGGGGCGCGGGGTGCCATGCAAAGTTGTTGTCGATGGGCTGGTCGGCAGGGACATCATATTATTCTGATCGCTCTTCATTGCGACTACTGCCCTGGACCATGCGCTGATTTTGTCTCTCTGCGCCCTCGCGGTTCGACGCATGGCCAATGAAGAACGCCTCGACCTGTTCGAGCAGCTGTGCTTGGATCGGAAAGGTCAGTTTGAGATTTGCGATTCCCCCCCTGAATCTCGATGCGCAAATGTTCTCGTTATAATTTGCCCGAGAACCAGGACAATGCCCTCGGTCAGTAGCTCACAGCCTCCGAGAGTGAACAAGAAGATTTAGCGCGGTGCATGCAATCCGACAGTTAATCGACCCCTCTGCCCTTCCTCGCAAGCGTCAAGCAAGAAGCATCTCGGGGGTCATGCTCTGCGACGGCGCAGCGAACTCACTGATACCACATACCAAGCCGTGACCTCAGCACCAAAGTCCCAAGAACCAGCAATACAACCCCAATAAACTTCATGCCTCCCGCTCGCGCTGAAGGTGCTCGATGACGTCGGTCGGAGTAGCCGGGGTGACCAAATGCACCATCCCCAGCACAAAGACCTGGCTGCTAGCTCTGGATTGACACAGTGCCTCGCCCACAGCAACCCGAGTAGACCTCTTCGTGGCTCCTCTCCAACCTTTCCCTATGCCGCCTATACTTCTGGCTGGTACGCTCAATTCTATTCGCAAATATGAAATCGGCTGGAAGCAAAAAGCGGCAGCGTACGACTGGAGCAGCCCTGTGTGTTGCTGCGGCGGTCACGCCCAGAAGTTATCGTCTTCTCAATGTCGCCTGTTCACCCTCCCTACGCCGAAAGCAAGCCACTTTAAGGGCCAAGTCACTAGCAGAAGCATGGCCGTGCTGAAAAACGCGACATGCACTCCGGGTTCACGGCCGAGCCAATCCTTTCAGGGAATACCAAGCTTGACATGAAGACACATGTAGACATTATGTTGGACATTAGACACACGAGGTCCTATAAGCATCACCGTTCACTCTGCTGGCTTGTGTAATCATAAGAACGATTGCTCCTCCTTTGGACAAGTGCAGTATAACTTGAACTCAGCATCGCTAAGTTTCACGGCGACGGAAGTGCATCGAGGCTGCATATGGGAGCGTGTAGAGATGATGGGTCTGACCGCTTGCTGGGGTCTAAGCACAAGGTTAGAGCTTACATACCATGGCATCAGCGGTGCATACTGCTGTTTCATTCTGAAGCTAATTCGGCTTGATGAAGGCTACGAGGATCTTGGAGGTGAAGATGATTCATCTGGCAGCAAGTGCTTCACAAATCCTCAAAACCGTCGTACTGGAGGTTCGATGTCGTGGACCCTAGAGTTCCGGAGAGTGGGTCATGCGAATGTGATGTTGACTGTCTACATCCAGACTGGGAGTTCCAAGGAACGAAGTCTTCACTGATCTCCTGTATCAGAAAGAAGAGCCGTACCCTTCACACGTCTGAAACCCTGACAGCCGAACCTCCACTAGAGTGGTTCTCCAGGTCACAATTGCCAGGTTCGACAACCTCGGCTTCTTGCGATCTCGGTTGGATCTGGTGTTTGACTTCAACCAGCCGATGCTTGAGATTCACAGCTGGAATGCGCTCTGGCTTTGTGTCCACGTCCATGCCTGCCGAGCGCAAACAAACTCCGAGAGAACGCTGCTCTTGAATTGCGGCCACCGGACGCGCCAATGTACCTTGGCTTCTTGCGACCGTTTTCGCTGCATAGCTTGAGGCTTCGGTCGATTGGTATAATTCGTTGTCATTGCCTAGGTGCCAAACAAGGAGGACAAAAACCTCGGCACCCCCAACGGTCTGGAAACGTCGGCATGGCATACTCTGAACGTTGCAACCAGGTGACACATAGGACTGGAAAATTGAAAGCCAGGCCCGCGGGAGACCCTTCGCGAAGCGAGGTTTCGGCTGCCGGCGGTCCAAAAGCCTCGGCGCATTGGAACTAGGTCCGGTACAGTAGCTGCCCAGATATGGCACTGAATGTTTACGTTTTGGATCAAACTTCTTGCCGCTGGCTTCAAGAGCCATTTTATCCTTTTGCCAGGAAGCTGAAATAAATCCACTTGGAACTCCACCACCAGATGCCTCAAGCGCAGATGCAATCTGGCCTCACTCGAAGCGCCTGGTGGTTCTTGACTTAGCAGCATCTTGATCTGTCTGTCGGGGCTTCGAAACTCATGCCCATACAAGTGCCGACCCGTCGGCCCCGAAACACCAACCGGGAGCCGCGGGGGACGGCTTGACGGCTTGTGTTGCTTCCCTAAGACTCTTCACTCGAGACCACTATGCAGCACCAGGCTCTCCAAACTAGCCCCTCAGGTGCTCCGAAAGCAATGAAGGCCGGTGGGTTACAGAACTTGATTAGTCTCTTGCTGCCCCCTGCAACAGAAATACATTTCGCAGGCAAGATGATAGACACGTTATTTTCCGCGAACAGCCGGAGAAGCCATTCGTCCTAGAGTAAAGGTTTTTTCAGCAAGGCCCAAAAGCAATAAGCGTCCATTATCAGCCGGAGCCGCGCCAAGAACAAAAGTGGCGCAAACGGGTAGATCCTGGATCGGAATGCACAGCTGACATCTACCAGCTCATGAACAGATTGGCACCAGCTGAGAAGGATGAAGCTCGTACATGTCCATCGTGCCCGACAGAAACAGCAGCCAGCTGCCAACTGGCCAACGGTCGACCGCGCTCGACGCAGACTTTGTGCCGGGAAGGACTGCATGACACTGATTAACATAGGCATCCATGGAACATGTCGCTTGCGCCTCTTACCTCAAGCTGGATTCGTGTGCAGCCCGGCGTCACAGTTGTCAAAGACGTCACCAAAAAGTGAACAGAGAGGTCCGTCGCTGTGTCCAGCACGTCCCATGGTTCCTTCGACTAAACCGACCAGTTTCAAGCAGAACAGAAACCAAAGGCCTAGGCCTAGTCCAAGCTCTTTGTGTTGCGAAAGGCCTGCGACCTTTCTTCGTTGTCACCCGCGCGTCGGCTCAAGCCACTGTCTTTATTTTTTCGAGGCTCCCAAGGAAGACAGAAAGAAAAGGCTCGACAAACCATCAGATTCTGATTTGTTCTGCTTTGCTTGGGGTCACCATTGGGGTCCCGCAGCCAGACCCGTGCTCTGCGCGTTTTGGGCTTCCGTGTTGCTTCATATTGTAGTGATGTATGTCGGTCCTTGGTTTCGGCCTTACTCATCTCTTCGCTTTCATCCAACACGTTCCTCCAGTCTTCGGTTTGGGAGTCGGACCTCCATTCGACCGTGCTTTCGTTCGAAGCCTTTCCTCCATGCCGGCACCGCTCGGGCTTTCTCGGATCTTTCGGCTCTAGATTTGGGCTCTAGCCAGACTCGGTCCGAAGACAACACCATAATCATGGTCAAAGTCAAGATCGAAACGATGAAACCAGACAGCACGAAAACAAAATACAGGCGAACCACCAACTCAAACCGATCAGTGAAGCGAAAGGAACCAAGTCTTGACGACCTGCAGTGGCTCGTGTGAAATACAGCTCAAATTTGATGCGGCCAAACAAACTGAAAAAAAAAGCAATAAACATTAAACCATGCATCAACGCTGCGAACAGCATGCAGATCAGTCTGCAGGAAGAAATCATAGATGCATACAAGCCCGATACACAAACGAAAGCAGAAACAGCCAGTACCAACTACTCACACGTAATGTACAACTTCGAGCCCGAATCCAGCACCAAGGCCGCATGATCCCTGCCGCCTTCTCACATCAGAAATCTCAAAGTCTACACACTACAATACAACCTTGGATATGCATTGCCCAAGCAATGGCACATTGCGGCCTGCTTGTCCAGCTGGCACTCGCAGGCTGCAGTAAGTTCCTTCCTTGGCTTGCGGTGGTTTCAGCTCGGCCTTAAGCTTAAGCTTAATTGCGTGCAGCTGCAACGGCAAGCCCGAGCCCCTGAGTCCCGGCTATAGCTGTTCAAGCTGAGTAGCGGCAAGTTGGAGGGTCCTGAAGCAGTCGAAAGGCTGTCTTCAGACTCGCTTGCAAAGGCATGCTGCTTTGGGGCCAATGACTCTGACTGATGGCTTGGGGATGCCCTTCGTCGCAAACGCCGCCTTAGCGAATGCAGTCTTGGCAAAAACGGGTCGGAGCTACCCCGGAAGTGTAACAGCATGGGCCCACAAGACTTCTACAACCGCCAAAGACCGCTGACGAAAAGGTGATGGCAGAGAACAGCCCCAAGCCTGCGACTCTGATTGGTGACAGAGTATCTACCGGGGCCTAAACAAATCGCAGACTAAGTTACGATGATGCGCTCAGGAACCCATGTTATTCTACACATTGTACACCCGCCGACACCTACGTACGAAAGCACCATAACAGAAGCCAAAACTAAATTCCAGATCGACGGCCTGTAGCGAACCCTCAACCTGAGACTCCGAGCAGTGTGTTGGCAACTCAGTGCGCAGTCCTGCATCGCCTGGCAAATCTGTGGCACTACGCTGCCACCTGCGAGGAGAGCACAGTGCACTTCTCTCGCGTTTTCGCCCATTGTGCATTGATCCACAGTTTATGGCAATGTGTCGTGTAATTTACGTGTAGAGAGACATAATCATATAAGTTGAGGTCTGGAGAGGGGACTGTTGCGGCGTGTGAGGATAAGCATGATTTACTTCTTCTGGGTTTGCAGCGATACATGTGATGTGTCCGAACAAGCACGATTTACTCCCAGTCCTTTCTGTATAAGTTAGTGAGACTCGAGTGGTGGATTCGTTTTTCGCGATGTCTTTACAAAGCTGGCTGGGAGAGTGCCCTTGAAGTTGCAAGACACGTGCGCGGTAAACCCGAGCTATCCACAACGGCGGATGGGGCAGTAGGCCGAAGGAACTATAAACTGCTGAGATGATTGTGATACTTTACCAGAACCTGGAATTCTGCACGGTCCGTCAGCTGTTGGTCTCTATATCCCTGCAGCCAAACTCTTAAAAATTCAATCTGACGAAAGCTACACCTCAGCTGACGGATCGTGTCTTTAAGACTTTCATCACAGAAGATCTCGTAAAGGGCGGAGTGCAGCATGCGAGGTTGCCCTGCGCCTCTTCAAGAGAGGAGCGCGCCGTGCACAAAGCGATGCCAAGCAGCGCCGCAGCCGACCTTTGCGCTTGCAGCAAAAGCTCTCGGCAGACCTGTATTGGAATCTCGTCTTACGGTTTGGGTTGGAAATTCATCGGATACATCCGGTTGGGTCAGTTGAAAGAGCGCACGGTCTGGAGTTGCGGCTTCTCCAAACAGAGTCTGGAGCTTTGGACGGAATACACAAGGGAAGAATACTAGCAATCTCTCGATCTGAAAGAAGAAATAGAAGAAAACCTTGGAGGAAATATGAGAAATCTCAGAACCCGTGCCCGCAAGACCCGGCTCTGTTTAACGGATCGACAGATCTGAACTGTATGCGTCCATGAAGCTGCGACCGACTCTACGGCGGCCCAGCTCAGTGTCTGACATGGCCTGAAACGCACAAGAACCTTCTAACATCAGGGTGGCAAGACCCGGAGCAGCAGAAAGGTTTGCTTGGCCAAGCGTGTTTGCGCAAAGCCTTCAGCTACTAGTAGGCAGGTTCTGCTCGCAAAGCCGAATGATTGGCCGGGACGACCATCTTATACATCGTGGAATGCGCCATATCTTGATTCAGCAGGGTTCTATAGAGCCACTTTGGCGATGCCTTGAGTAATGAAGCCCTCTCTGAGCCTCTTTGCAATCACTGGCGTATACTGGCGCTTGATCATGCCTAGCATCAGTCGTTCAGGACTTGTCTTTGCCACCGAAATGCGAGGTCCGTCAGCACATCCTCAGCAAAGTCCACTGCCAGCAGAGGGTACAGACCTCGGCATGCACGTGCATGCCCGAAAAACGATGTGGAGATTTGTGCAGGTGCTGTCCACACTGTAGGAAACGTGTCTCCGTTACCGCCCATCCTCCCCATGCGGTCCTGCTGTGACTTGCTTGCCGTTGCAGACACGCGGCCTCTGTTGCAGAGGAAGCCGAACAGTCCTTATGAGTTCTCGGGTTGCAGCGGAAAGGTAAGTTGAAGCTTCGATGTGTTCCACAACGGATCACCCACCGAATGAGTCTGAGGTTCTGAGGTTGGTGCCCGCCATATTTCACATCCGAGTCTCGAGGGACTATCCACTTCAGCAGGTTGTGGGTGAAAATCTTGGAGACCTGCCGCCACAGGCACTCCGCCAAGCCCGTGGTTCAGATGTTCGAGGTTCATGCGCACAGGAGCTGCACCCCCGGCCAACAAGCACACTTTGTACAGACTGGGCACATTGGCCGGGCTTTGTCATTGTGGAGGGGACTCAAGCTGTTTCACAGCCCGGACATGTTGCACTGCCCGACTGGCCGAGTTTGTAGAGGAATTTTCTGAGAGCTGGTGTTGTTGAGGTTGTAAGTTATACCCAAAACTCTTGGCAGGTCGATGGGCCCGAACCCAGACCCGACCGGCCAGTCGCACGATTCGGGTGTTCTGTTGATTGGGTTGATGCGCGACTCGTTGCACAGGCTCTTCGATGCCAAAGGCTGAAAAGAACCAACGTGCCCGACCGCTGGCGGAAGATGGGCGGTCATGTACCGGGAAACCCAATGATGGGAACATGCGCTCGGATTTCTCCTTGAAGTTGGAAGGGAGGGGCCATTCATTGGTCCCATGAATTTGCCGTGCCTCTGAATAAGGAGGCTGCATAGGTGTTTGCTCGGTTGCTGCGCATGCATGCAGGTCTGCAAAGTGTTTAGCGCTTGCAACCATTCCAGTCAGGAAGTGCACGCTTCCAATCGCAAGCTGCGGGCGATTCGTCATCAGCGTCATTCCGCCTAAGCTGGGCGCTTACTATGCGGCCCAGCCTTTGTAAGCCTTTCAACCCGCTTCAACACTGCCACAGGACGAATGCGGTGTGCAAAGATTGGAAAACAAAACATCATACCTGGCTAGAAACCAGATGGAACCCGGAAGTAAAAGAGATAAGCAAACTAAACGAACCTGAAGCCAAGCGGCGAGCCACCCAGCCACGAACTGCCCTCAGTAACTGGTCTGAGGTGCTGCAAGGAAATCTGTTTTTTGGGCTACGTAAAAATGCCCACCTGTACGTGGGTTCGGGAAGAATCCCACAGGCAACTACGAGCCTGGGAAACGGAGAGACTGTACCAAGCAGCCGTCGGGGTTAGGGCCCGCAGCTAGCAGAAGCGAAAAGGCAGGGGCCTGCAACAGACACTGCACTGGCCTAGCTAAGGGGCGGCAGGCGCTGCAACCCTGCTGTACGTAGGTTTGACCTACTGGGAGCCCCGCGCTGCCCGAGCAGAGATGTTCAGAATGTCACAGTCTTTCGCCCCAAATTGAAGCCGAACTTGCCAGATGTCTCTGTTACATGTCGCTTGAACACTGGGGCCGCTATGTCACAAAACAGGAGTGTTTATGAACATGCGAGCTGAGAGAAAACGGAGAAACAGGTTTCCAGGTGCTCGCTTTCGCCGTGGTTGTGTCTGAAAAGTCTGCAAAGCATGACTGACAAAACAAACAAACATGCATGATTGTATGCATGCATGCATATACACATACCTCAAATTCACGAATGCATGCCATATACATGGAACGTCCGTATACAAGGAAATTCCAGGAGAGCCCAGGCACTGGCGTGTCGAACCACCGCTTCCCTTCGCAGCTGCGCGAAGCTCAGGAGGACCTCTCCGGCAACACGGGCTTCAAGCCAGGGGTTTTCGCAAGCAGAGGTAGGCCAGATTCTAGCAAAAACCTCGAGGAAGACGACGATGAAGAGGCATGTGACGCCATGCCTGAATCCCGAACCCTGCCAGCCAAGCGCACCTGTCCGCCACTGTGGAGCTCGACATCACAACAATCCTCCGGAGGCACAATCTTTCTGCTTCTTCTTCTTCTTTTGCAGGGCCCCCGGGCCCTGCATGGGGATCCTAAATCACTGAAACAGAACGGCCTTAGGTTGCTTTTGTCTTCGTTTTGGGCGAGGGGTACGACATGTACGACCCTTTGTCGGCCCCAAATCCCTGCCGCCTTGTCCCAAAAGGCGCAGCTCTCGATGCCGAGGCGATGCCGGATGTCGGGACTGCCACGGGCGCGAAGATTGCACTGAAACGAAATCTAGCGGAACTACAGAAGATCGTAGCCTGTCAAGCTAGCCTGTAAGGATCCAAAGCTGCCGGAAGCACACAGAACGATTGGAAACCCGATGCCTTCATGCCTGTCTTCTTGCCCTCCCAACTTTGCAATGTGCAGGTTCTGACTCAAGGCAAGCACAGCCTTCTACCAAGCACAGCAAGCCTCGGAGTAAACAATGCATCCCGATGTCGGGCAGATAGCCTTCACAACAAGGGAGCCAAACCCAAGCCTCTGGCCTGCCATATGCACACGGCCAAAGCCACGGCCGGATGAAGAGCAAATGCATGGTCGCAGAACCTTGGAAGCCACAGTGCAGGTAAGGAGAAGCTACCAGCGCAGGCGGCTTCAATGACAGAGCTGTCCACACCGGGTGCCTACATGGCTCCCTGCTCTTCTCAACCCATCTGCTGGTATAGAGCCCACACTCACGTCGTACACCAACGAGGAAGATTCACCCGGCGTGGATGATGTGATGACTCTTTAGCTTCCTACCTTCATCCCCTGGAAGGCGCAGATCTGCAGGGCTCAACTCTCATTTTCAGAAGGGATCCCTCTCTCTGCATTTTTGCCAAGTGCCGCCAAGCTCCAAAAACGGAGCAGGCACTCTCACTTACAGCATGGCTCAAGAGCTGACCACAAGGACAAAGCATTGCAGGATAGGTCTTCAACCCTGACTCTGACAGGGTGCGAGAGGCTTGGTAATCTGCCCTTCTGATTTACATTGCTCTAGCTCGAATCAAGGCAAGGCGGGTTAAGATACCAAATTCAATCAACCTATTTCCCAGCACGACTCCTGATGCCTGTAAGACTCGGCCGACCATCGATCTGGAATGCCCAACTATACAGGCCCGCGGCATTGGACGATCACCGTCAGCGCCCACTTCTTCACCAGGATCGACGTCTCCCAAGAATCCTCGAGAGGATTCTGGCATTTGCCGAAGCATTCGCTGCCGTGCAAGCTGCAATACGAAAACGAGCGGCCGCAAGCCCTCCACGAGGAAAGCTCGTGGTGCGTGGTCTTGGTCATTCTTTAGTCTTGGAAAAGCAATAGGGTGAGCTACTACGGCGGCAAGGTACTCGTCTGGATACAGTATGCTTGGCTTCATGGAATCTAGAGCCACAAGAAACTGTGTCCGCAACATCTTTCAGGATGCTAGTTTCGGGAAATCCAGAAACACACCTAGTGCAAAACAGCAAGGTGGTGCAAATCACGTGTTTTGCAAAAAATGCCTTCGAAACTTGGTGTCAGCCTGTTCTCGACGGCGTGGATCTGAGAGTTGCCTGCATTTCGGGTGCCTCTCTTCTGCGTGACGGTGTCTTGGTGCAAGCTCGGCTAGTCGGCTAGCTCCACTCAGCCGACGATGCCAGATGCCGGCAGCTGTGCACCACATTGTGATGTATGCAACGCGAATTCTCGTGGTGTACACTTCCCTGTCCTCCTCTCGGTGGTTCTCCGCGTCTGTCAGGATGTGGGCGACAACACGGAAGAGGTGATACAGCAGCACACTTACCTTAAGCAGCCAGATGCAACAGGATGCAGTTGCAAATGTCGAGTTTCTAGCCGAAGCTCTTTAAATGCGGTCCGGACAAGCCGCCTGGACGCGACCGAATTGCGGGGCTCAACACTACAATGGGCAAGAACTGGTTGACCCATGGTTACAGGATCTACAAGTCGGTTAAGACTAAACTAATCCTTGACACTCTCGATTAGGCACAAGTTGAACTGCACTCAACAGGCTGTGGCAGGGTCGTGAGGGTGCCCTCGGTTTTGTGCACCACCCGATCTGCAAGTAAAAACCCTGCTGAGGCAGCATCAATCTGCAGATGCCGGAATTTCTTGGGGTGTGCTGACAGCCATCCCTGCACTCCCTGCACAGCTTCTGATTTGATCCGCCTGCTTCGCTCGAAGAAACTGCATCATCAGCCTTCTGCACTCGGTTCTGTACTCAACCAGGCTGAGGGGCAACAGAGAACATCGCTCCCATGGAGGCGTAGTTCTCGGTTGCAACCTCTTCTCACAGCGAAGAGACGATGCAGGTGGTGAGCAGCTTAGAAGACGTTGTGCCCACTCGGACGCCATGCGGAGGTTTTTACACCTGATGTCTTTAAACTTTAATCCTTCCCACACCGTACAACAGCCGACAATCTTGGGGGGTCCTGCCACCCTCCTATCCCATGCATCCTGGAACTCAACTTCTGTGAACTTGGCCCCTGCACCACCAGAAAGAGCACATTTTTCAGACCTAAACAACTCCACACCCCGATCCCTGCACTAAGTCTTTGCCTGGACGTGGCTTGTGCGGATGATGTAGAAGCTCAGGAAGACCATGACCCAGAGTCCCAGAAAGCAGAGATTCACCTTCACCCGATGGTACATCAAGACTGCGGCTCTCATCAGCAGCTTATCTTCAACTGCTACAAGACGTCGCGGTCCGTACATTTGCATGAGCTAGTTGCCCCATGATACTAGAAAGTTGAAGCTTTAGCTTCGGGATGTCACACATCAGGATTTTGTCAAGCCATTCGCGGGAAAACACTAAATCCTGGTCTATGCCTGCTGGTTCTGCCTATCCAAGGGCTGAACAGAACACGCTGCTAGGCCGAGTAAACTCACTGACTCACTGAATCACAAAGATGCAGCAGGGTATCAATCGTGTGAACGGGCTGGACTGCAGCCAAGCTTCGGCGATGACACGCGCTTGAAACAGTCTCCTCGTTACAGATGGTTGCGAGCGGCATGCTTGCACCATAGCAGCCGGGGCCGGTGTTGACAGAGATGAGCGTCGGTGCTGTGTTTCTGACAGAAGAGTCCTGTCGTGATGAAGCTGCACCAGCCGGCCATCCACCTGAAACCCGATGGGCCAAGACGATTGGACGCAGCAAAGCTTGTGCCAGCCGAAGGCTGCTTTGTGCTGGTTGCTGGAGGTCGGTCCAGATGACTTTCAGCTTAGTCGCCCGGCTCAGCGCCAGCCGCCCACCTGAGAGATTGACTTCGACTGGGGATCAAAACAAATGCGGCAGCGGCCGTGAGAACAAGCTTGCTGTCGGTCAAAATTCGCCCTCGTAGCTTCACGTCTTCTTCAGATCAGGCCGAAGTTAGCTAAAACCGCATGCTATGGAAGCCAGAACTCAGAACATCGACGTAAGGGCCCGGCGAAAAGCTGGTCTTGGCGCTCGATGGGTCTGAAGCGCCTCGGGGGGCCTTCTCTCTGGAAGGAAATCATCGAATTTCTATTCTAATTACGAGCCCGCGGACTTGCCTCGCTCTGGGTCGCTATCTTACGCCGCTTGAGACTTGCACAGTCAGCAGACACATCAGAAGCCAGAACATGCATTGATTTCAATCTTCGGTTTGCGAGCTGACACTGCCCAAAAACCCTGTGCAAACAGGGGCGTGAACTGACCATCCTGCAACTCGCCACAAAGCATAGATTCTATGCAGTTCAACGCGTGCCGAAATCCAGCCTTCCAGGATCCCCAGCGGAGGGCGTAGCGCTGCTCCTCGCGGACGGGCCATCGAGCTAGCTGCCACGAAGCATTAATCAATACAACAGGGAGCACGGAACAACGACTCCGTTTCCTAGTCCAGCTTTTTCAGTTGGGATGCTGGCTGTGAACATTCTGGGGATGTGCGCTCTCGGCTTTTTGTTGATGTGTTCTAGGATACTTCATCTTCATCCCACAGCACGAGCCGGATTCGAAACTCCAGCGCTTCAAAAAAGCATGGTCTGAGCCATGTCTTATATATCTGTTGCCTTGCTTAACAATAAGCTGCAGGTGTGCTTTCTATTCGGTCTCACGCGCATGAAACCTGGACTTCCACATCTCCTGTCCCAAATCCATTTGTCAGCAACTATAAGCTTGGTTTTATATGCATCTCGAACACTCAATCTACCAAGTGTACACACGTTCCGTCCTGCCGGTGCCACGACTCGATGACACATTGACCCCATACTGTGGTCGTCAGCCCGACCATCAGAGACCTCGTTGCCGTGAGGGGCTGATTGGTTCTTTACAAACACGTCATACAACCAAATTGAAACTCCTCTCAAACTTTAACCCCACTCACAAACTTGTCAACGCCGTTCCCTGGCAACTTCAACACCAAGTGTCTGCTTGCCATCTCTGAACGAGGGCGAGCACTTGCTTCCCCACGTCAATTCTCGACGTGTCAGTGGAACTCTTTCCTCTTCTGGGAGATTCTGCAGAAACCCCCCTCCTTTCACCGCAAACCTTACGAGACCAAGCTGCCACAAAGGCCAGCGCCTCTTGGCTGCCTTTGCAGTTCACGTCAACGGTAAAGCTTCGGGCTTAGGATCTTGGAATACAGGTCCTAAGCCAATCCTCAACGCCTGTAGCCTTCACCTCAGCATCTAGCTACAGCGTCAAAGTGAACAGAAGCCACTCCCGCTCGCAAGCTCGAAGACAGCCAAGTACACCCTGCTCAAACGACTCCAAACATCCCTGAGTCGGAAGCCCATCACTCCCAAAGCTCAACCCACAGCCCACCTCCGAGTCCAACTCGGCTGCAAATTCGTCGACCAGTAGGAAAGGCTTCAACTTCTCCTTCTAATTTCTTAATTTCTTGGTGTAGGCTTTGGCTGGCGTCAAGGCTTTGCATGGCTGCTGACAGTTGCGGCGAGCTGTTCGGTGGGAGGCAACGAAGATCGATCGATCCTGAAATATCATGTTCGACATGTCGCAGTGGCACGATCCCGGTACGGAAGTTCAAAGTCTGGAGGACCCCAAGCTCTGCCTGAGTGTTCACCGCATGCACGACGTGCTGCGCCCAGTCCACGCTGTAGACTGCCAGCAGCGGAGCCAGCAAGACGGTCAAAGCAAAACCGTAACCTGGATCGAAAGAGCTGCTATGGTCTTGACGGGAGTTCGGGGCCGTTAAGAGATCAACTATTCCAGACCCTTGTCGGGCATGCTCCGCGCGTGGAGGGTGTCGAAGAATCCCCACAAGGGCCCACTGCCAGCGATGTTAGTCATTTAAACACCCTGAAGTTAGCGGAAAGGCCAAAATCGACAGCACCGAGAGGCTGAACAGGTGCTGCAGAAAAGCAAAGTAGAAGCCGATTTGCTGGCCGAAGAAGTGCTGCAGCAGACTCGGAAGGCTCTTGTCCTCGGACACAACACGAGCTTCTTGCGTGGGTGTTGGAGACAACGACAAAGGAAACCATCCATTCAAGCATGGCATGCCCTGAACACCCTGGATATCCTGCCCTGCTTGAACCTCTCATCCTCCTGCCCCGGACCTATCAAACTAAACTCCCATCCAAAGGCACGTGAACAATGGCTCTCTCTCCCTCGCTAGCCTGATGCCATGCAAGGCACGACCACGCCGGAGAGCAGGCCGCTCCGAAACCTCAGAGTTCGGTGAAAAAAGCGGGAACCGTGTCGAAGACTCCTAAACCACTGGAGATGCTTGGGCAACTGGCTCCGCTGATGGCAGAAACAAGGAGGTTTTGCAGCAAGCCGCAGAGGCGAGCTCGGCAAGCCGAACTTGAAGCGGAGCTCCGAAAACGCGCCGTCCCGGGGGTCCTACAGAGCTCGAGTCGAGGTTCTGAAGTTTTGGTTGTGTGGAGTGCAAAACCAGTAACGCTGTAACCAACAGGAAAATACATAGGTCTCTATCGCAACTCTTATGCGACACGGATGCCCGGGCTGCAGCCTTTGCAACAATGATGCTCCTCACCTGCATGAGAAAGTAGTGCGAGAAGGCTGAAGGCACCTTTCAGGGGGGCCAGGTCCTGCGTATCCTGTTGCTGGGGTCGGACAGTACGAAACGAGGAGCAAACTCCACAACGAAAGCACTCCAACTGCAGTGCACAAAGCTTCCAGCGTATCTCACGAGAGTGAAGCTCAACCACACCAGCCATCCTCTCGCCTGGCGGAGATTGTCCATCAAATCTGCAGTGGTCGCCGCGTAGCGTCGTGCACCGAAGTTGCCTTTGTTGCTATTTTGGAAGGGGTACACCCACCTGCAAGGCCATGGCCATGATGTCGAAGAATATGGTGAACGTCACGAGCATCGTGACCCTTATCACCACCACCGCCACCACCACCACACTACCTGGTCGTCACTACCTGTATCATCGTTATCATTGTGTCATTATTCATGATCAACAAGAACATCTTCGTCGTCACTGCCATCGTCATCAGCATTCCCTTCGATGATACAGTCATCAGTGTTCCGTATTCATCTTCACAGCCATGACCGTCATCGTCGCCAGCACCATCATCAAGCTACGTATCATCACAATGCCACTATCATCACCATCATGTTGCTGGTTTGCACCACACAGACAAGCATATCAGTTGGCCTGGCCTGCGTCCGGGACGACTACCAACGACCGGTGTTGCGTAGTGATGGCGCTGTCCGGATTCGGTTTGCCTATAGCTCCGAGTCCCTATAGCCAACAAGCTCTGTAAAAGGGCGGGAACGACGCCGTCGACCTGCAGCGAAAGCCCCGAAACCACATCGGCCACGCCACTATCGCTGTGCTAAGATATACTAGATATGTATCAGGCATGTATGCCGCTGAAGGTTGAAACAGGGCGCGACAAGTCCGGAGCAGGCAATTGCACAGCTTTGGCCGCTTCCACCTTGGAGCACAGAAGACAGACGAGCCTGTGGAAGAAGTTAAAGTGAAGGCATTGGAGATCTCTCAACGATCAAGTCGAATCTGAAACTGCCGCGGTATTCACGGGACGAGCAGACACATCGGCCTGGAAAAGCGAATCTGCGTAGCGCTCTGTTGATGAAGAGCCACTGGTCGAGCTTGAATCCCGCTCCCATCTCGCCAGTCGCACCTGGCATGTCGTCGGCCACCAGGCTCAACCTTACCGGCATCTTTACACTCTATAGTGACTCTACAGTTGTCCTTATCAGAGCAGTACTACACCTTATCTCTTGCTGTTGCTTCTGCTTTTCTGTTCTTGCTCATACTCCTGCTCTTGCTCTTGCTTTTTCTCTTGCTCCTACTCTTGCTCTTGCTCCTGCTTTTGCTCTTGTTTTTGCTCTTGTTTTTGCTCTGGGGATGATGTCAGGGGGTTTTCCGAAAAGTGCTGTTCTTTTTAGGGGGGTGCTCAATGGGGGTTTCAGCACTGCTTTGTCAGTGCTCGCGAAGGCAATGTTCGAAACAAAGCATTTCACCCTTCCAAGGCGCAACAGGCGTAGTCGCTCTGAAGGCAGTAGCAGCGTAGGCAAATTGACCTGGCAGTAGTTGCTCAGCTAATTTCCGAAGTCTCGACGGATGCAATGGTCTATGTGGCGAGAAGGTTCGCATCCCTCACTGCTTCCACTGCTAACAGCCATCGCGAATAGACAGGAGAGGAGAATCCTAGCATGTATCTTAGCAAGGCTCTGAGCAATCTCTGCCCCGAACTTGAAACACCCGCCAACATTTTGTCTCCCCACACCTCGTTGGCAGGCGAGCACGGCTGTGAGGCAACTCCGTCCTACGTCCGCAAGGCATTGACTAATTCCCCCACTCACAAACATGGCTCTCTGGTATCAGTACGTCTTCACAGCTCCCCCACCCAGCCGAGCATGTCACTTCGTCAACTTACTCGGCTTGGGGGTTCGCAAGGAGTCAGGGACCTGGGGCTTCTGCATCACGACGTGTAGGTTGGCATGTACCTGATTACCTAAAATATAAATACGAGTACACACGTGTACATGTATTTATATATACACAGAACTATGAACATATGTATATATATATATATGTGAAACACAGATATATGCATATATAAGTATGTATGCATGCATACATACATACATACATACACGCATACATACATACACATATACACACACTTAGGCTTGGCAAGAACTGATGAGGC